CTTATTCATAAAATCATTATTCCCATATAATGTTCATTCTTTTGGTATAATTCTCAATGGTAATATTGTTAGAGAATTAAATGCATAAATGCTGTTATGTTTGCTTTTAGCTCCACATGCTAATCCATTTGAAAAAGCTATGATTTTCTATTATCCTTTTCAAGTAACAATATCATTACAAAGCTACGAATCTACACTTACATCTACAACGTTAAAGATCAAAGGGTAATAGAAATTAATTGTGTCTAACGGACACTTTACAAGACTAAGAGGAGAGAAGACGATAACTCCAAGGGCTATATTAATGAGTCTATTGGATTACTTATTGACTCCAACTATAAAAAGACTCATTTATGAAAATCGAAGTAGAGAAATAATTGTGCACAAGCTGTGATATGCAGTACTCTTAACTACCTTTATTTTTTATCTTCAATATTGTTGTATTTCAATATATTCATCTACTCAATGAATGAGTTTGTATTAGGATCACTTTGTGATCAAATTCTCTCTATTATTTATTTGAGCAGACTTAAGATTAAAGTATCTTAAGTAGGTGCTAAAATTACCTCTAGAAGGGGGAGAGAAATAGACTTGTAAGTCTAAAAGATTATAAGTGGCTTTAAAAGTGCTCGGATCAAACTTGTGAGATTTTGTAAAGAAGAGTGATATAGATGTTAAGTCTAAGATTGTATTGTGACTTCACAAGTGCCCAAATCGAATTTGTGGTTATAGTGAAATATCTTAGGAGGTTCTTGAGGACTGGATGTAGGCTAAGTAGATTAGACTAAACCAGAATAAATTCTCTGTGTATTACTCTTGATCTCTCTTATCTTCATCTGCTCTATTCTATTATCATAACAGTCATATTCTAAGCCTTTGTGGTCAAAAGCTTTAGGCAAAAAATTTGAAGACACCCAATTCACCCCTCTCTTAGGTGACTAGCATATCTTACAGTCTAGTCTCAATTGAAGTAATCCATCTGGTCCTAATTGTCCTTTATACTCCGATCCCAATAATCGCCTACAGTCTAGTCCCTATCAGCACCAGTTGTCTTTTCTCAGTGGACGCAGCCATTTGATCTCGATCATTGCCTGTACTCTAGTCTCAATCGGTGCTAGCATTCTAGTTTATTAGTACTGGCCGTCTAGTTCCATTCTGTGGTGATGGTCCCATCCATTTGTGACGCCATTGGTTCAGTTCTAATGGAAGTTTACCATTTGATCCTAGTTAGTGTCAACTGTCCAGTCTCAGTTGGCAGGTACAAGTCAATCTTGGTCAATGGGGCGATGGTTTGGTCTTGGTCTTTGCTAGCAATCTAGTCCTATTTGATGCTACTGATGGGCCAATCAAATTACAAAGAGATTGATGTAGGATTTGAAATAATAATGGTTTAGAAAGGATTTTAAGTTATAAAGAAATTGAGATAGAACATGAATTTCTTCTATACATTTTTAATTACCAAATAATAGATTTGGCTTAAATTCAAATCCAATCCTCATGCATCTAAACATAGCATCAATGAAGTCTTCATGATTTTACTCTTAATGGGAAGAGAATGAATAGGGAGAATAGGGAGAATGACAAAGAAGTCTCAAAAGAATTAATTAATTTAAATTAGATCCCAAGTATCAAACTTTAAAAATTTATAACTCAATTTCTCAATGTTGTAATTGCATCATGATGAGTTTGCAACTTATTTTTTAAATTTTAATATAGTTGAAGAATGAAAAAATTATTTTTCTTATTAAAATTTGAAATACAAGTTATAAATTTATCACGACAGAGTTGCAAAATTAAAAGATTAAATTATAAATTCCTAAAATTTAACACTTAAAACCTAACTTAAATTAATTGATTATTTTGGGATCTCTCTATATTCTCCCTAATTGAAAGGGTGTAATTTAAAATGTTTTTATAAAAATACTCTCAATTAGGAATGTAATTAATAATAAGGTTTTCTAATTGAAATGTCATATAAAATAAAAGTAAACATGAAAAGATGAAAGAATAAATTGGTTCACTAGTCAAAAAGATCTTATGTCCAAAAAATATGGATTAAATTTTTAAAAATTTAGAAGTATGGCCGGTTCATATTGATATATAAGAAATTTATCATTGATATATGATAAGTTCATCATCAAAAATTTAAAAATTTAAAAAGAGTTTATCATTGATATATAATGGTATATCATTGACAAATATAATAAACTGGCCATAATGTAAAATATAATAAATATTTGGCTATTTGTTTGGTTTTATTTATAAAATAGGTTATCTCTACAAAAGCCCTAGAAAAGAAAATGTGTAATTTTAGGATTATAATTTAATTAAAAATTTCCTATAATATTGAACTAAAGGAGTACTCCCTCTATTAAAAAATATAAGGTATTTTAATTAAATCTCACACTCAATAAAGTAATTGTTTGTCTTCAATGAACACTATTTTTTTCATATTTACTCATATTTAATAGAGTATTTTATTTTAAAATAAATATAAAGTAATTTATTATTAGGGATACTTTTGAAAAGGCATAATAATTATATCTTGAAATATTAAAAATATTTTATATTTTTAAATATTTAATCTCTTAAAATATCTTATATTTTTAAATGAAGGAAGTATATGATATGAAAATAAAATAGATGAGCATGGCTACTTTTCCGTCCTTTACTAGTTTTTTTTTTCAACACAGTTATTCAAATATTTATTTTTAAATAATTTATTTATTTATTATTCTTAATTCTCTACGCGGGAGCCTCGTTAGAAAATTGATTAGAGAATAGAAGTGATATATCATATATTTCAATCGTGATCTAACGTGTTAGTAATTAAATTTTGGAAAAGTACAACTTTAAATTTCTACATTTTATTATAAGTCCTTACACATTTTTTAATGTTTTATAAATCTCTCCAAGGTCTCTACACTTTATTTATGGAGGGAACTAAAACATTGAAAAATAAAACAACTTAGAACATTAAAAAAAGTACAAAAATTGATAGTAAAATGTGAATAAAGTGCAGGGACCTAAAGTTATATTTTTTTTAAATTTTTATAAGGGAAACTTAAGGAGAGAAATTTAATACTGTTAAAATTTTTTTATCAAGGACCATACAAATTAAAATTACAGTGAAGGACCAAAATAAGTGTAATTAACATGGGATACTGTATAAGGTTGTGCAATTTTTAATTCCACACACCAAAAATAAAAAAGTAGTATTAAATTCAATTAAATCAATATATTTTTAAACAATCTTTACTTTTAAACAATTGAATCAATGTCATTTTAAAATTCTTAATTTTAAAAAAATTAAATCAATATAATTTAAAAAAAATATACTTTTAAAGAATTATTACATTTGGCCAAGAATGTTTTGTTTCTATCTTAATTCGTACTTATGAAATTTCAAAGAAATGATATTATTAACGTATTACGAGTTTTTGGGTATTAGTTTAGCTTTGTTTTAATTTTTTATTTTCCATCTCTTTGTTTTATATGTATATATATGAAATAGTTTTCTCTTAAAATAATGTGCTTTTGCTAGTAGTAACTGTTAAATACAACACGTGAGATGTGGTTAAAAAATATATGAAATTTAATTAGGGCCAATTTAGTTTTTTAAAATTTATATTTTGATATTTGGTCCTTTTAAATAATTACTATTTTTTATATCTTTTCTATAAATATTATCTTTTCAAGATGCTTTGTCAAAAAAAATATAAATAAATTTAAATTATTTGAGGACTGTATTAATTTATACGCAATTGCCCAAATTGTTAATTATTTAGTCGACTCCGATGAAACCGTTAAATCTTACAAATAGGAAGACATACATTTGTGCATAGAATTTGAAGTTGTTTGATATATTTATCATTTCCTATATGTTAGAGGAAAATATCAAAAGTGTCTGCAAAACGCGTTTTCATACTATCGAATTTTGTGTGTGTGTGTGTGTGTGAATTCATCATCCGGCCTTGGTCTACCAAGTCTCTCCATTCACATGGTTCGTAGTAGCAATCAACTCAACAAAATAAGTATATCATTTCAAAATAGTGAGTCCAAAGTATTTTTGTCAGTTATATTTTTAAGTCATTCTTAACATTTTCACTAAAATTAAAAAAATATTAAATTTTTTTTAATTATATCTAAAAATTTAATAAGTTTTTAATTATACTCCTATTAAATATATAATATCAGTTAAGTTTACGTTTGATCATTTAATTTTATATAAAGTTTCTGTTTGATCCTTTAATTTAATAAAAGAGAAAATACAATTATTGATCCCTATAACTTCATTGAATTTTGCTTTTAATCCTAATAGTTTTTTTTTAGTGTTTTATCAATCTCTATAATTTCAATAAGATTTAGTGACATTTATTACTCAGGTCCTTAATGATGTTAAATTACAAAGACTATAACGACTAAAAATATTGAAAATAAATTAAAAAGACTAAAGCGAAACTTAATAAAACTATAGGAATTAATAGTTGTATTTTCTTTTTATAAATATCTTTTTAATCTTTTAACTCTAATATTATTAGTTTCATTACAAAAAAATTTGACATTGAACTTTTAAATATTGATAAAATATTTTTAAATATTAACATATTAATTTTAATTTTTGTAAAATAATAATGATTGGGACAAAAAAAATCATTTAAAACTAATATTGTTAGAATTAAAAGATTAAAAAAAATACTTTATAAAATTAAAGATTAAATTAAAATTTTATATAAAGCTAGAGGATTAAAAGTATACTTTAACTTATTATGAAAATAAATACTCTAACAAATAATAATTTTTTCAATATTTAATAAGGGCAAAAGAATAAAAATGAACACAAAAATTATTAAAATGCTCAATAAATAAATAAGAACATAGGAGTAAGTTAAAATTAGTCACAAATGCGTTTTCGTTTACAGCTAACACTACATATAGTGGGTTACATCCTACACATCTGCTGAAGCAAATCATTTAGAAAGTTGGAGAATTGAGAGAAGATGGGGAGCCCAAGGGGATCAAAGCAATGGCCCCAGCTGCCAGTTTTAGTAGTGGTTTTTTGTGTAGTTACCATTAGTGTTGCTGCTGGTCATGAGCCTTACTACCCTTATTATCACAACCCTCCACCACCACCATATGTCTATGTACCTCCGCTGCTGCCGCCGCCGTCTCCTTATGTCTACAAGTCTCCACCGCCCCCACCTCCTTATATCTACAAATCCCCACCACCACCTTCTCCCTCACCTCCTCTTCCATTTTACAAGCCACCTCCACCTCCGCCACCATATGTTTATCAATCACCACCACCTCCTTATGTTTATAGGTTTCCACCACCACCGTCACCACTATCATTTCCTTCACCTCCTCCACCTTATTTCTACAAATCACCACCACCTCCTTTCCTATCACTGCCGCCTCCATATGTATACAAGTCTCCTCCTCCACCATCACCTTGTCCTTATCCACCTCTTCCTCCTCATCCATTGCCATCACTGCCACCTCCGTATATCTACAAGTCTCCACCTCCGCTACCATATGTTTACAAATCACCGCCACCTCCGTTTGTCTACAAGTCTCCACCTCCACCACCAACACCATATACATATACCTACAGCTCTCCTCCCCCACCATATGCTTATAATTGATCTCCGGTGCCGCCATCTTCACCATTTCCTAAATATGTTTGTTTGTTTCTTTTGACCACCTTCAAGCTTCCGAAACATTACCACCTCGTCGTCATGTCCTCACGTTGCCAAGTCCTCAATTACCTTTGTCCTCTGCAACATCTCTCCCAAAAGTAATTTGTTAATGTTACATTTTAAGCGAAAACTTAATTTAATTGTGTACTTTGTTATCTATGAAGTTGGTGTCTGCAGCGTAGCATTTCCGTTTTGTAATTTAGTCCTTTCACGACAGCCTTATAATGTAACACCTGGACGTGCGGTTAGAATATAATAAATTTTATGCATTTATACATTGTGTTTATGGGATGAAACTTGGATCAAAGCTGTGCGCAATGTTTTAATGGTGTGTTTGGATTAAGAAGGATTTAGATTTAAATTTGAATCAAATCTTTCAATTGAATATATAATAATTTATAAATTTCAATTTGATTCAAATTAAATCCAAATTTAATTTTTATTATAATTCCTTTATTATTTCAAATTTTTCTATACTTTAGTCATTTTAAATTCTAACAACTTCAAATATTTCGTTCTCTTTGTATTTTTATTATTAATGTTTATGTGACTCTTATATTTTCTCATATTTTATTCTCATCCTTCATCGTTTTAAAAAATAGAGGTAAATTCACTGCTTTTAATTTTCTGCTTTTATTTTGAATTTTAATTTATCTCTCTTATTCATTTAATTTTTTTAAGCAAAGAAAAGATTTTAAATATATAAATTTTAAATGTGAAATTTAAAATAAAAAATTTTAAATATACAATTTAAATCTAAATTCATCAATCTAAACCCTACGGATATGTTTTATTATTTACATGCATTTCACATTGTAAAAGACTTAGTTTATGTTATGCATTTTAACACCTGGACGGTCAGATATATAATATATGCTATGTATTTTGTGCATTGTACACTTGGATCAACGGGTATAGATTGTGTGTTTAATTTGATGATATCGTCAACATATATTTAAGGTTGTTAAACTGATAAATTTAAATAAATTTATAACAAAAATATGAACTTGAATTACAAGCTTAGATTATAAACTCTGACATGAGAGTTTATCTCTATTAATAAATAGCCATTAATAATATGTGATTAAATAATTAAATTATAAAATATGATCATAGTTTGATTTAAATATATTTAAATATATCCATCAATTTTCCATTAAATATATTTTGAGCGCTGTGGATATTCATTTTAATCTCTTCCAAGGGTATCCACCAATAGAAAAAAGCAAAGCTTAAAACCCATTATATCATGAAAACGCTTTAAAAGTCAATACGATTGCTGTAAAATGCAAGCTCAAGTGTCAAGTGCTACAATAAATAAGTTGCGAATAGGCTCTCAATTAAGGAAGGCTCTATAATTTACACTTTCAAAGCTGTACAAAAGCTGTGAAGGATCGATGTGCTAATTTGTAAATGTCAATCTGATGTGGTAAATATGTGGCTCTGTAAACAGACCAGCACTCATAGCGTCTCCAATTAATTCACCAAAATGCAAAAGCATGAGGAATAAATTAAAGCACAAAGCTAAGGCAACGAACATTGCGAGAATTTCCAATTGTAAATTGTTCATATCAATGCTAATGTTGGCGTTGTTTTTGTAGCATGGTGCGTGACTTCTAAATTAAATAGTGAGTTTCCAGAGTTCTTTTCCACAATTTTTCTAAACGCAAGTGCTTAAAAATAAAAAAAATGAAGAAATGGAGAGGGAGTAAAATACAAGAATTGCAGAATAGGAGCCGACATTGTCTTATTATTCTGAAATAAATTGCAGAAATTGTAATACAAAAAAAAAAAAACTGAAGAAAAACCGGAGCAGCAGTTCTGTTGTTCAACCAGGTAATGTTACTCTACTAGATGCAAGGCTAGCTATTGTTTAATGGAATACGTGCAAATGTCCAGGAACATGACGAAATTTTTAAATTTTTTTAAAAGTGTTTGTACCAATGTTTTGAAACCTTAATGAAATGCCAAACTGAAAAGAGTAACGGGTTATAATTTTCTTAGTTTAACTAGTTAGACTGGCAATCGAATCGATAATATAAAAATTAAATAAAAATAATATTTATATACACAAATATATAAATAAAATATTAATTTAATTCTTTAATGGTGCTTGAAATCTCAACTCCAGAGATTAGATGCCTCGACTATTGAAGTTAGAGGCAAAGATATGTTGGCACAAGCTTATAATCTCGAAGCAAAATGTTGGAGTTAGAGACACGCCATCATCTCATGACTCACTAGTTTCAGATCTCGATGTCAAAGGTTGGATTGTTAAAGCCAGAGATAGAAGCTAGAGGAGAGGTCAAAAATTGAGTCTAGGCCATGAAAGAAAGATTAAAGATGAGATAAGAGAATATAGAAGAGAACTAAATATTAAAAAAAAAAACGCAAATTTGAGCGACATAGCCTAAATTTTTTTTTTTTTTTTGGCTTTGAACTGGGTTGATCCACTCTGATTTTCAGGTCAAATCTGGTTCTCTGAAAACCAACCAGGTCTATCCGGTTCAACTGCTAGGTTAGTCCAACTAGTTAAAATAGGCCATTTTAATTAACAAGTGGCGGTCTAACCATTCAGTCCAATTCAATTTTTAAAACACTGGTTTGCATTTTGCATTTGTGTTGGTTTATCATGTGTTGAAAAAGAGGTTTGAATGGGGTAAGCATTCCTTTTTATAAGGGGAGCAATAGTTTTTCCCCCTCTGACTCCATGTTCCACTTTTTTAGGGGTCATTTCTTGTAATTATCCTCAAAGTTCCCTCCATTTTTGTCAAGGTATATTGTTATTGGAGTCAATTATATTCGTGACACTACTGAACACTAAATATAGGCATATTTTTTAGCAAGAATCTAAATTTTTATTTATCATACTATGAGAGATTAATTTTTTTTACTAGATCAAATTTTATTGGTTTCTGTTATCATTTTTTATTGCAAATAACCTCCTTCCTTTTTAGAAATAGTGGGGGTTTGCCTTGGGCCAAAATGAAATCAGAATTTAGCCCAAAGAGCAACTTCGAGGGCAATGAGAAAACCCAATATTTATGTGAGCTACGCATAGACCCATCATTCATGAAGAACCCTTTATAGGCAAAGACATTGACGTTTACAATATTTTCTGTCAGTTTTGGAAGACAGCTAGCCTTTGATAGCTTGCTTGGAGGCATTTAGGGGGTGAAGGGGGGGGGGGTAATTATTCTTTCGTATTCAAAGGTGGAAAAGAAGCTAATAATGTACTTTCAAATTAATTCAAGCCCATCCAAACGAAGACAACTAGAAATAGGGGGAAAAAAATTAGGGAGCTAGTGAGACATACTGAATTTGGGTATGGAACGGATAACCCGATTACCTACAGAAAGGATAGATTACTACTAAATGCAACTTGTGAGAGAGAGAGAGAGAGAGAGTTGAATAGAGAAGAGGTATTTAATTCTGGGGTGGTTTTTTTTTTTTTTTCCCCTTCAACCAGCTAGCTCTATTTACATATAGTGTGATTAGTTGATATCATTTAGGAAATTGTATGTAGTGGCTGCCAAGTATGCATCTTTGGTCAAAAAAACAGAGTTAATGGTCAAAAATGGCAGGACACTGGGTTATCCAGTTTTGAAAGTTCAGGGGGCCGATTGGACTAAAGAAGAGTACAGGACATTGAATGGTTCTGAGAATATAGTTTAGAGGTAAAAATAAACTTTTAACCTTTTATTATTTATTGAGTCTTCTGCCCTTTTACACCGTCTTTCTGTCATGTCTTGTGTTTGCGCAGGGCTGTGTGAAGATATTTTAAAGCCCAAGGCAAAATTATTAATAAAACTTAGCATGTGTAATTGTCACTTCAAACAAAAAAATACTCATCATTTTTTACAAAATTATATATTAAAATTTTATAATATAATAATTCTAATAAAATACTAAATTAATTTAATAGTTAAATTAAAAATTAGTGTGGACAAAGTGCTCCCATCCCATCTTATATATTGAAATAGAATATTAATAATGATAGGGGATGGCAATACAATTAAAAAATATATATAATTATGACTAATAATATCAATGATTAAAATGAAAAAATAATAATAATTATACAAATTATAAAAAATATTTTTAATAAGGCTTAAAGACATCAAGTTGATAATTTAAAACTACCCAAGATCTTGATGCTAATATTTTTCAACATTTTGGGTTTTAAAATAAGAAAAGAAAAAATAATGAAAAGTGAGATGAGAAATTTAATGCAAGCTAATGTAATATAAATTGATATCTTATGGATGTCACTATTTTTTTATGTAGATAATGAACTCAGCTCAATAATTAATGTTGTAATGGGAATAATTAGAACTTTTCAACAAGAAAAATAATCAATATTTTTTATTTTCTTTAATCTACAATTAAATATATGATAATACAAATATCAATTACACACACATATAATAGAGTTATTAATATTTTTTTATGGAGGCCTAAGGCAATTGTCTTACTTGCCTTATGGCTTCCGCGGCCCTGTGTTTGTGCTTGACCTGATCGCAACATCCATTGAACGTATGAGGTTCTACTTTCAAGTGCAAGATTTCCCATATCAAATTAGTCGCTAATAATAAATCCCATATAATTTACATAAAAGTAAAGTGAACACATTTCAGGCCCAAAAAACAAGTTCTCGAATTATACAGAACAGCTCAGACATCCAATATATCACAATTTATATTAGGAACCCAAAAAGCAAGCATCCATTTTATAGGAAAAAGGTTTCCTTTGAACACTTAATTATATTCTACAGTTACACACGAAGCTATTTTAGCAAACTTTACATCACAAGATATGATGTTACAGACAATATTTTACAGTCACACTTCAAACACGATGAGGCAAGACTTTCATTCTTAGTGTTTTCACTTCTCCGACAGTTCTTGCATTACATGTCCCATAGATGGCCTTTCATGGGGTGATTCATGAGTGCAAACTAGAGCAATCCTCCCCAGTTTAGCTGCTTCTGATTCTGAGAATCTCCCTTCCAGGTTGTCATCAACCATATCATTAAAACCACATGATGATGATGATGATGATGTTTCTGCCTGGTGATGATTATATAACTGAGTAATATCACTCTTTCCAGTAAGAAGCTGGAAAACTATCACTCCGAAAGCATAAATGTCGCTCTTTTCTGTTAAACAACCGGTGGTGGCGTATTCCGGAGCAAGGTAGCCCTTGGCAGCAGAAGCTTTCAGTGTGGAGAAGATAACATCATCTGCAAGAAGTTTGTGCAATCCTGAATCTGCAAGTAATGAATTATAATGTGCATCAAGCAGCACATTATCAGCTGATATGTTCTGGTGAACTAGGGGTTGTTTTCTTCCCTTATTCTTTCCATGAAGATAACCAATACCTGGCCAAAAATAAAAAAATACATGTCATATTCCAAAGGGGTTAAGATGTAAAAATACTCCAGAGCTTCTGTTATCTTTTAAGTCAATAATGATACACAAACACCTATTAACTTTATAAGAGACCAATGTTCCATAATTCGTTAAAATAACCTGACCTTAACTGTTAAGTTCTGAGGATAAAAAAACCTATGGCATAGAGATGTAATGCCAGGATAGCTATCCGTGACCATGAGAGAACACTTGCTAAGCCTAAGTGGACTGAACCTGATGAAAGCTTCTTGAAGAACTAGGTATAAGGAAGCCATTAGATTAATTATGGTTTTAACTAAAGGTATTATTAATAATGAAATATCAATTCTTGTCAATTAAAAGATTTAATTTTCACCTTGTTCCCGGATATCAGACTGATCTTCCACATAGTACTACTAGTCTTCCATTAAATAAAATCAGAGTACTGCCAATTATATGAAAAGACAACAATATGTTTCTTCTTGGCTGTAAAAAGGTCAAGAAAGCGGATCAATATTATTGACATGTGAGCATGAAAGACAACAGGTAAACTATTACAAGATTAGAAACTCACTCATACAAAGATCCAAGAACTATGAACTGATTGTAATTTAACTGTTATCTTCCTTCATAATAATCTGAAAATATATTTTTATTAAACTTAAGAATTTGTTCCATGAAAGAGAACCAAGCCAATTCAAATCAAGCTCTTACTAAAGCACTAATATTTTTCTCCTTCCTCGAAATTCAAGTGGAATAATAAGTAAACCCAATAGCACATAATAGCACATGCAATGGAGACTTAGTAATATGGGATACCAAGTCTGTAGTATAAGATGCTTAATTTGGTAATATGGGATACCAAGTCTGTAATATAAAATGTTTAACGGGGTATTTAAGTAGGTTGGTTTTCTCACTTCAATAGCTAGCTTTTGGGTAAAATTTTCCATCCCACTTAGATACCCATAATTTAAGAAACATGACAATAAAGATGAACTGACCTCTAGCAATACCGTGGATGATGGATGCTCTGGTAGACCATTCAAGAACCCTAGAATCCCCTTTCTTGAGATCCAAATACTGAGACAAATTCCCATTTGGGGCAAAATCATAAACAAGGAAGCACTCTCCTCTGCCTTTAGAACAGCAAAATCCTCTGAAACGGACAAGATTTTCATGTTTGATTGAGGTCATTATCTTCAACCCTTTCAAGAACTCAGTTTCATCAGACTTGCAGCTTGTCTTGTTGATACACTTCACAACCACATGTGATCTGTCTCTCAAAATCCCCTTGTAAATTCCACACAAATAATTATTATTATTACTCTTCCCCAACAAGTTCACCTCAGAGAAGCACTGAGTTGCACGTTCTACTTCCTCTAGATCAAACATAAAGCTCTCTAGAATTTCCTGGGAATAAGTACTTTTTCCTTTGGCTAATGGATCCCATCCATTAGAATACTCTAAACTGATCAAAGAAGCTGCATTATTATTTTTCCTGCAAACTTGCAGGCTACTACTAGGAGAAGAAGCATCAATAATACCGCAGCCAATCTTTTGTTTTTGATGACGATGGTACCACACAAACATGGAAAGTCCAGAAACTGTGGAAGCAACAATAATTCCAATCACACCAAAAACCAGAGCCATTTTTGAGTATTGCAGTGATTTTTGACAGTGGGTTTCATCATCACTGCACTTTCTTTCATCTTTTGGATCAACTGAAGCAGGAAGACCTTTCGGGCTGGAAAAGTTATCAGGTTCGAATGGTTCAGGCTTGCTTGGGTCAAACAAAGATTTACAAGCCAGCAAATTTGTAAACTCAGTCCCACATAAGCCAGGATTGTTGATGTACTGGAAACCGCCCTTCAGTCTTCCAAGAGCTGCATTGATACATAAAGTATGAAGTATTAAATTAAAATATCTAAAAAGAAGCATAAAAGCTAAGTTGAAAAGAATCGAAAGTTTAGTGCTCAAATTAAAAATAAGACCTGAAAAAAACAATTGAAGTAAACATCATATATATTCTATAATGTGTGACATAACCCATTCTTTAGCAAGCTCAACTTGAATTAGACTTTATGATCATAAAAAGCATCATTTCTTGTCAATCATATCATCAAAATGAGTACATATATATATCAGCAAATTCATTGAATTTTGGCGAGCAATTATCAGGTTAAAGAGACATGGAGAGTGGATGGATCATTCCTTGACATTTATTTGTTGAAATAAATATGACTTACTACAAAAACAGAGAATTCTATGTGAGTCTTGCGCAATCTAGCTACATTAAATAAATATGCCGAAGCATCCTGAGCTCCCCATGAGGCTATCATTGCTAATAATGGTCTCACACAACAAGGGTGCAGATTAGTTTGAGCAAGAGACAGTAATACCCCTATGTTTCCCAAAATACCTGGTGATAGAATTAAAAAAAATATATATATATAACTTACTACAAAAACAGAGAGTTCCACTTTTTTTGGAAGACCAAAAACTGAGTTATAACCATCAGTAAAATTGCCCCAATAAAAATGGAAAGCAAAACATTTTGGAGCTGTTATTACCTGGAGGGACATTGCCTGAGAGAGAATTGTTTTGAATATCAAGGCTTTCTAGTTTGGGGGCATCAGCTAATCTCACTGGAATAGGACCAAATAGATTATTAAAGCTCAGATCCAACCTTGTTAGCGACTGTAGCTGACCCAAACTTGCAGGAATTGCACCACTCAATTCATTATTTTGTAGAGCAACAACACTGAGTCTCTCCAAGTTTCCCAATTCTGTGGGAATACTCCCAGTAAACTTGTTACAACAAAGCTGCAAAACTGCCAAGAATCATAAAGTAAAATTAATGAAAATTAAAAATTAATTAAATTATTGAGATAAATTACAAGAAAACAGGGTGATAAAAATTATACTTTTCTATATTTGGACTGAAAGATGCAGAAATTTTAATTGAGATATTTTCTTCAATTGAAAAAAAAAAATTATATGCATCAACATTTAGAATTAGAATAAAATAAGCGGAGATATGACTTTCTGAAATTAATTATGAACACTGAACCAGAGATACAAAATGTTCTTCTTCTTCTTGTTTTTTTCTTTTTTCTTTTTTTTTCCGTGTATAAGCCTGTAGTGTACCCAAATGGAAAACAGCGGCGGAGTCAGCATCTAAGGGAAGGGGGCGCAATTTAATTTTAAAAAATAATTATTTCAAATATAATAATTAAATATTTTTAAAAAATTAATTTCATGCATTATAATTTAGCTCTCCTTGATTTGATTTTTATAATGATTGCACAATAAACTTGTTCTTGATGTTTAGTAAAACATCTTCAATAGAGAAGCAAGGAATCAGCTCAAGGGCAACATATTTTTTGAAAAATACTAAATAACAATTTTAACATTTCAAAATTGTAATTTATTTTTATTTTTCCAAAAGCATATTTTTAATTTATTTCAATTTATTGCTATCAGGTGTTTTATTTATAAGATTTAGCATAAAATTTATCCCCCTTTTTAAATCTACCTTCAATTTTTTTCATTTTTCTTAAAATTAACAAAACCTGCAATTCATCTGTATTAAATCTTGTTTTCACATAAAAATATTTAATTATTTCAAAAAGATAAAAATATAAATCCATAATAATAAAATTAAACAAATAATACAAGACGAAAATTAATACATAAAAATAAATGATTTCAAGCAAAAAAAAATAATGGTTTCACCATTAAAAAATAACGAATATATATTATATTAAAACATAAAAATAAATTATTTCTTCCAACAAAAACATAAAAGTTAAATAAAAATAAATGACAAATAAATACAGAAAACGTTTTCCGAAATCTCAAATCTCTTGATTCTCAATTCGCCCTCTTTCCGCTCATCCATGCCAAATCCCAATCTCAATAATAACTCTGCCTCCCCTAACTATCTCAAACCAGGATCCCCTCCTCTCTCCTACTTCCATTTCTCAAATCTTTCTACTAACTCTCCCGTTCTCCGAAAACTTCGAACACTACAGACCTAGCAGAACTCAAAAGAAGCTTGCCTAGTTCTCGGTGTGGCCTATCCGTTGTGTTCTGGTTCTACATCACAGGCTGCAAAATGAAGCCATCACTTTGTTTAACACAAGTTCAAAAAAAAAAAAAAAAAAGGGCTTATCCCAAAGACTAGCTTATTTGACAGGAGAACCTTATATATTCATAAAATAAGAGAAAGTTTATCTAAAAGAAATTAGCTAACGGGTGGAACAATTTTCTATGCTTATAAACTGCGCTCCAGTTATGAAGCTCTCTGCTGCGGGACTAATCACAGTTGCTTTGGCAGTAATATGGCAATCCAGCTCTACACTCCCCAGTGTTGAGTGACTCGCAATTTCCATTTCAAATATACAAAAAGGTACTAAATCTTTCTCCACTCAATCACTGACAATAAAATACCAATCTAACATCATGGAATCTAATGGTCATATAAACTGGGTAATTTATACTCAGACACACAAGAACAACAAGAATATATAGATGAAGATAGCGTGAAAGCTAAAAATCTACACAAGAAAACCAAAAAAAAAAAAATTCTGAACCAACCTTGAAGATTAGACATGTGTCCAATTTCATGAGGGATATCACCATAGAGATTATTGACATTGAGATACAAATCGGTGAGGTCACTCAAATTTGCAATCTCTTTGGGTATCGTCCCACTCAGAGCATTAAAGTGAAGATAGAGACCTGTCAAACTCTTGAGGTCGCCGACGGCAGCCGGTAAGCTGCCGTAGAGACCTTTTCCTTGAAGCGAAATATTAGCGACGTGGCCTTGTTCGTTGCACGCCACGCCCTCGAAACCGCCGCTACATGGGTCGGAATTCGGAGTCCATGAGGTCAGAAATACGTTCTGCGGGTCGAGTGAGTGTTTGATGGTCATGAGAGTGTCAAGCTCTGAAGATGAAGAAGCAGGAACAATGGCGAAGAAGAAGAGTGAAAGTGGAACAAGCAGAGACATGTTTTCGTTCAGTGGAAGATTTTAAGAAGCGAGAATGTGAATGTCAAGTGATAAAATAAGAAAGTGTAAAGGAGTGGGCAGATTGCAGTAAATGTTTCCGGGCTCGAGCATATCGCAGTGGTACAGTACTTTGAGAAAAAAAGAATAGTCTAGTTCACTGTCGATGATTGATGGAGTTTTCCATGACACCATAATAGCATAATTTAATGAATCTACATATCATCTGTACGGTCTACATTAAAATTTTTTATTTCTATTTTTATTTTTTACTGATTAAAATGAAAATTTATTAAAAAGTCTATATTTTTTAATAAATCTTTTTATGATTATTTATTATTAATTTGAATAGTTCAAATTTGACATGAATAGTTTAAATTTAATAGTACTTTTTTTATTTTTTAATAAATTGATTATCCATATTTAATCTAAAAAATTTAAATTTAAAATTTAAAAAAAAATCAATATTTTAATATTTTAACTTTTAACTTACTTGTAACTTAATCTTTTAACTATAATCCGTTGCAACTCAATCTCTCAATTTTTTATTCACTTATAACTCACTTCTTGTTTTTAAATTTTTTTAAAAACATTATCCTTATCAAATAAGAGGGATAAAAGAAATGCTCATATCTTATTATAAAATGCCCTCCTATTGTTTTTTGATGTGAGATCTAAATTAACATGAAAAAAATAAACAATAAAAGTTGAAGGATTAAGTTATAAATGAGTTAAAAATTAAGAAATTTAGTCATAAGTCAATCAAAAATTGAGGAATTAAGTCATAGCAAGTAATAATTGAAGAACTGAGTTACAAATAAGTTAAAAGTTGAATGATTAAAAGATTAATTTTTTAATTTTTAACTTATATCTTTTGAAAAATATTTTTAAAAAGTGTTAATTATGATATTAGTTTTATTTTTATTATTGTATTTATCAAATTAAAACTTATAAAATATAGAAAACTAATATCAAAAATCAACTGTTCATAATATATATGGATAGTTAATGTATAAAAATTATAAAAATTAATATCAAATTAGACTATTCAAATTAAATGTATAATATTCAGATTATATAAATAAATTTATTAAAAAATTATATTTTTATAATTTTTTATTTTATAAAATATAAAATAAAAACTTTAAAATTACGAGCTGATGAGTCCTATAATTGAATCATAATTTAATGTGAAGAGTGAGAAGAGGGGAATGGATGAAGAGACTTAAAGCAAGGGCTCTCGTCCATATAAAAGGATAATATGATTGGATTCAGTGGGGACTCTTTGATCCCAAAACACACTTTTGAAAGTAAATCTTACGGCTCAGAATAATTCACTAATTAATGCCTTCATGCTGTTTACACTTTCATGTGAAGCACCCGTGTCTACATCTTTCGTTAATTATTGTGTTTGATATAAACATGTACTCGATTTTCCAACGTTGATCTTCCTATCTCTCTCCTTTTTCCCCCTCTCAGCCAAAGGGCTTTTTTGTCAAACTATAATAATGTAATTTGATTGGAACAAATCAATATAATGTTTGATTATTGGAACTCAAGACCAATAATTCCAGGGGAAAAAAAAACACTCGACTTTTATAATTTTATTTGAGAGTACAAGAAACTATTCCACCTCATTTTTATAATCATTTACTTTGACATGTATAATAGATGTATTGAAATATATTTTCATAAAATTATGATTTTAATTTTTAAAATTGATTATTGTTGAAATCTAAAATCCTCTAAAACATCACAATTCGTTCCGATTAAGACTTAAATAGACCTACATTAATTCTATCTAAATCATTTTAATTGCTAGAAACTAATTGGGATTCAAAATCATCCATAACCCAATTACCCAACCATCTGATTGATTAAATCCAAGAAAAATGAGATAGAGGGGAGGAAGAACAAGCTAGAAGCACATGCCAATGAAATTGGAAGCTTCAAAGACAAAACAAAAACAAAAAGAGCCAAAACACTAAGACCTAGCAAAGTTCCCTGCATTCTCGCACTTCCTTTGTTTAAAAATATAAGGCATTTTTAATTAAATTTATCCTTCAATAAAGTAATTATCTACTTCAAAACTAACTATATTTTTTTATATTTATCCCTATTAAATACCCTATAATAAATATAAAGTTACTATCAATAGGGACACTTTTGAAAAAATGCAATGATTATACTTCAAAAAAATTAAAAATGCCTTACATTTGTAAACATCCAACTTCTCAAAAAATACTTTATATTTTTTAATGGAGGTAGTATATGTTATTTTTGTTAATATAAAACAATTTTTAACCATTATATAATTTGACGCAATATATTTCTTAAGCAAATATATGGCAATTTTTAATCATTATATAGTTGAAATATATATAATAGTTTTTTTAAAAAATGATTATATAAGTTGTTTCAGTTTTGAGTTATATTCCTAAAAATAATCATTATACAGTTTTTTAATATATATATATATATATATATATCACCACTATTTTTCAAATATATAAGGCCTCTATGTACACAAAAAATGGTTAAGCAATAATAATACTTTCAAAAATAATTATTTTAATTTGTATGTCATTTTTATAAGGAAGAGTAAAGGTAGAAATAAATTTGGTTATTTTGTAAGAGTGAGAAATCAAAATTGCATCTCATTTGATATTCTTATATATCGGAATTATTAATCTGTTAATGATATATTGCTCGTATCTAATACTATATATCAGATATGATACATGTGCTGTACTTCATAATACATACATTTATCATATATTCTGCCTTTGCATTACTATATTTTTTGTCAAAACATTTTTAGATGACTTTAAAACTAAAAAATTAATATTTTGGTTTATTATTATAAATATTTTTATATTATTTAAGAAATTATTGTTTAAAACCCAAGACCCACCCTCGTTCTCCAAAATATTGAAATATATAACATATATCTTCTTGTGCTCCTATAATAAAATGTAGACGTATCATAGTTGTATCATATACCTGATACATGTATTTGTATCGATGCTTCTTAAACAGCGAAGTAAGAATCAACATATAAGAGTGGCTCTATTAACATATGATTAGAGGTCATTAGTTGGACTTCATGATCAGCACTATTTTGGATTTCAGCATTGTCAAGTTTCAACTAAGGGTAATTCTTTCAGTATATAGGTTTTTTAAATTTACAATGCTGTAAGATTTAGGGAAAATGATAATGAAATCCATTTAAATTATATAAATGATAAATTTAATCTTTTAAAATATCATAATTCTATTAAAGCCCTTAAGGACTTTATGTCATCAATGAATTTGTCTGAATGAACAAATTGCCCTTATTGAAAATAAAATGATTACAAGTTCTATTTAAATAATCATAATTTTACTTTTTATATTCATAACAATATAATAAGAAATTATAAATTCGCATGTCAAATTCTTAATATTGCTATGAGGGTAACTTAGTCATTTATATAAATTTATTAATGACATAAAAGTTCTTAAAAATTTAGGTGAAATTATAACATTTTAAAAGACGAGATTGTTATTTATATAATTCAAATGGATTTTATTGTCATTATTACTAAAATTTAAAACATTGTTTCTTTCTCTTAAAAAATAAACATGAGTTCATTTCATTCAACCCAATTACTCTTGATGAACAAGGGCTTGTATGTCAAAGAGAATCAAACACCAGTAGCATATATGATTAATTGTAATGGTGTTATATTTTTTTTCAGTCAGAATGACAATGAATAATTAAGTCTCATTCAAAAAATTAGGATTAAAAAAACTGCTAAATAACTCCAAATTAGATTATTAATTTTATAGACGACAAGGATATTATTGGATAATTTTTTATTATATATCAGCCAATTTTACTATGTAAATAGGTAGATCATTGTCCATGACCCTCTAAGCTTATTAATTTATATTTATTTTGTCTGGTTGGTGAAGCTCTGTGTTTAGATCCATAATTACAAATATGAGTCATCTTTTGTCTCTTTCTCCTTCGTCAATCGATGTGTTAAATCAGTAATTTAAAAATTAATTGAACCAAACAGTCAGACCAACTATTAATTTTGCTTTAGATTAAAAAACTGTTTTTATAATTGATCTGAATTAGATTGAAATTAAGCTACTATTAAGTTAGAAAACTGGAGTTGAATCGAAAATCAAAAATTTTTAAAAAATCAAGCAGTTTTAAGTATAATTTTAAAAAAGCTTAAAAATTAGAAAACTAGAAAATTAAAAAATTAGATCCTCTTAAAAGAAAACTTTATTTTTAAACAATTCATATGTATAAAATATAATTTAAAATTATTTTTTATAAAAATGTTGATAGTTATAGGAGTAAATACAAATACTTTTAAGTTTATTTATATCTAATTTAATCAAGATCTATCTATATTTAATAAGTTATAAAATTATAATTTATAATATAATTAATTTACAATCATATTATATCATTTTATTAACATAGTATATATTTTTTTATATTTTAATATTATTTTTATTTAATTATTATACAGCTGGTTCAATGGTTAGTCTAAGTTAGATCATAAAAACCGAGAGCCACTACTTTTGCAATTAGTTTAATGTTTAGTCCAGCTTTTAAAATATTGTGTTAAATAGAAGAATGTAAAACTAGCTTTAATCTCATAAATTTTCTCATAAATTCCATTATTTAAATTACACATATTTAAAAAAAATAAATTAGTAACTAGTAAATATAAAAAGTTAGCTACCAGTTAAACAGACATCAGCAAACAAAAAATACTTTTTTACCAGAATTTTACATTAGTTAAAAACAAACCGATGTTGTTAATTAGCTGAACTTTTAGTAGTAGACATTTTCCAACGTTTGTAATTTTAACCAGTACAAAAAGGTATCATTAATTCTAACTCTACACCAGTTGAAGTCATAATCGATGCCCAAAAAAAAAAAAATCATGTTCTATACCAGTTGATGAATAATTGGTGTATACAATCTGGAATTTTTACACCAATCGTTCCTGCACGTACGATTCCATAAACAGTTAAAAATCATTGTTAAGGGGTGTAAAAAGTCTATTGGTGAGAAGTTTTCACAAATTCACCATTTATATTGACTTATTACTTGAT